TAAGTTGGAAACAAGGCTACGGATAGACAAGCATAATGAAGCAGAACAATGGTCAACTCAACAACGGTATCAGGCAAGAACTTGAAGGCACTGTTCGTGGTTGCCGAGTCGGTGGACCCAGGACATTTCGTCATTGGTGCACCCCTCCTCTTCCCACCTCTTATGGCGGTAAAAAGGGTAAAGAAGAAAAAAATGGCGTGAGAATGGCATCGCCTTTCTGGCGATTTTGGTGAGCGAAACTAATCAGAATAAATCAAACAAAACTGGAGCTGGAAACGAAAATTTCTGCCATACCGCTGGAATAGAATTCTCTCACGCCTTGTTGGTCTCCCTGAAAATGCTTTGAAACATCGAAATACCCACAGGAGGTGATACATTGCGAAATATTACTTACTCCTTTCGAATAATCGTCGCCTCCTCCGAAGCCGGACGCATTCTTATTGCCAAAACCTCCGTTACTTTTAAAGCCATTTCCACGTCGACCGCGACCGTCATCTTCATTATCGTTCCCTGCGGAAGGAAAAAACTTTCGAAAAGGATTCTATCCACCAAAAGAAACATTCTTATTAGGGTATGCGGAAGAACAGTACCCAAAAGGTGTTTGGAAGGTGTAACTTCTAGATAGGGCTTCCCAATTGCAAGCAAATGTGCTCCTACGATCAGAAAAGTCCGGGAATGTACTTTCATCTGTTTATTAATCGTCACGTCGTGAGTCCTCTTGTTTGTTTATAAATTCATGGTGCCCTTGTGGGCGGTGATCGTAGCTCCTATCATCGCCCCTTCCTCGTACGTATTGTCAGTATGCTACACCAGCGCCAGAGTGCTGGACGTGCTTGGGACGTACGTAGGTACTGCGACCTCCCCCCCCGCTCGACAGCAAAATTTTGTAAAAAAACCAGAAACTTTTTGGGAAAAAATAGACAAAGTGGTAGGAGGTTGGAAAAAGATTTTTCCAACCTCCTACCACTAGGGAAGAGGTAACATGGGGAGGGGGGTCGTACTTGAAGATGGAATTAGGGGGGTCGTATTTTTCAGGAAATGATCACAACGCAATGGCGTGCCCTGCCCACAACAGAGCCGCTGCCGGGGACGCGGGGGAAGCGGTGGGACGTTCAGCCAATGTTGCAGCGAAGGCGGCCATAATCTGGTGTGCGTCCTCGTCATTCCCCAACCCGATTCCGTGGATAGAGCTCCAAATTCTTAGCGTGAAAGCCCCATGCATGGCGCATTGCAGAGGTGATGCCAATTGGCGCCCAATGGCCTATTTCCTGATACCCTTTGCGAAAACATGTGTTTTAGAAGCATACCAAAGTCTTCAAGCCAACTGGAGGTTTCATGGCCTCGGAGGGGCTGATTTTTCGTGTCGTGGGGGGGAGGGTGGTCACGAAATGATCACAACGGGGAATTTTTTCGAATAGCAGGCCTAGGAAGAAAATTAAAGCCTTGCTGGAAAGTAGAAATCTTCAAGCTTCCGGCACAATTCTTTTTTTACGAAAGGCCGTGTATGAAGCTTGCCATGGACGTCCAAAGCGTAGCGACTCGCGGTTCGCAAAAATGATCACAGACGGATCACAACGGGGAAAATCTCTGGAATCGGAACGTTTTTGAAATCGCTCAATTCAGGTGACAAGAGCCAACCTAGCTCTACTCATTCCCACTTACCCCTCTCCGATAGCTTCACTTTCAACGAAGTTATGGGTGTTCAAATGAGGGGTACTTTTCACGTGTTTGGCTTGAAATTGGCTCCAGGCCGTAAAATAGCGCGCACCAATGAGCTTGTATGAGCGCGCTGACCGCGAACAGCCAAAATTCAAAAGTAATCCATAGTTCCGGTTCCCAGCTGGCTGGTGAGTTTTTTCTTATCCATTTATTGTGAATTATTTTGATTGTTTGTTTTTGTTGAGTTTGATTTTGTTTTGTTGAGTTTGATTTTGTTGTGAGGAAATTGCTCAGGATTCAATTTCTACGGTTTCATAGGTAGCTTTTGCAATGGATTCTTTTCTAGATTTTGCGGATTAGTGGATTGGGATTTAATCTAGACCAGAATGAAGGAGGGTTGGTGGGCGAAGTGTCTGAAGTTTTTTTTTGTGAGGAAGGAGGAAAAAGTTTCAGCAATTTTTTTTAGTTCTTGGCCTAGGAATAGTTCGATAGTGCCTAGTTCTATTTATTGTCATCTACATCGTCCCTTTTGAGCTTCTTTTCACTTGTACCGTGTATCACCGCTCTCTCCACTTCAACATGGGCCATGCGTTTACGACCCCCCTCCATCGCGGGCAAATACGACCCCCCTGTTGTGATGATCACAAAGATGGCGTGCCCTGATTGTGGGCTGGCGCTGTAGTGCCCTTGAAACCGCTGTTGCCTTATGACTCGTTCAAATTATGTAGGACACATCCCATTGCTACTATGAAGAACACGCCGTGAGCAGGAGCTAAACTTCTGATCCAGCGGCTAATAGTTCGGATACGGTATTGCAAGCCTGGCCTCGGGACTTCATTCGCGCGACGCCAGCGTCGTTTCGTTGGCTCACGAAGAAATCGCCCGTCTTCCTCGTCCCGTCGAGAGAGACGTTACATCCACGTTACATCCAGCGGAGGCTGTCAAAGCAGGCGACATGTGCACGGCAATCGCGTCAGTATTCAAGTGATGTCAGATAGTACTGCTGATGTCGATCTGGTCAACTGAGAAGGGAATGCCCCGCTAGTTTCTGCGCGTCACTGCAACATCAGGCGTTCGGACGTTCACACCTCCGCGACTTGAGCGATAAGTCGAACGATTTGAGATTTTCGACGCCATTACAAACGCGGCCCCTGCTAATCGTTGAACAGCTGCAACGACAAATTCATTGAGAATAAAACTTCTGTAGACCCACTGCAACGCCGCAAAATTACCATGGAGAACGGCTGCGCGATTGACCTGCAGAGTTGCGAAGTACGAAGGCGCCTCAAAGAAAAACCCGGCTATGGCATGGTGTGGATAGTGGTCTTTGATTACAAAGATATGGTCCCCAAAAGACCTTCCAGGAAACTAAATGGCGAAAAATTTTGTGGATAACACCCAATGTAAGGACCCCTGGCACCTTCAGCGTATAAGTTCGTCGGAACTGCTCGCTCTATGCCACAAACCGATATTCTGCGGCCTCTGGCTCCCTAGCCGTTTCTTCGTGTCATCCTGTGCCTATACCACCTACCAGTGGAAACAACAAATCGAAAAACATGGCGTTAAAATAGAACTTATTACGGAAAATAGTCTTCCAAACTGATGGGATTCGTCAGATCTGTCACCTATGTGGATCCTAGCGCCTTAGTTACCTACTGTGAAGCAGCGAAAGTGGTACATTCTTAGGGAACGCAGACCAATACTTGAACAAGGTAGGACACCGAACTGGCTGAGCGCGTGGACAATCTTCGAGCCCTTCGGGTGGCGTCCAACTAAACCACTTAAACCTCACCGAATGAAACAAAACTGTGCGTAAAAAGCAGAAAAAACCAACATTTGCTTTGACCAAATCGTCCTCCTCTACTGGAGCTCTCCCCGCTAAATCGTCCTCCTGTAATGTTTCGGCTTAGTAAAACGTAGTATTCGAAAAGGATCGGTGCTTCTTGAGCTCATCTTTTATAATAATGCAACGAGTAGCACAAAGAAATATGGGGGTTAAACAGAGCAAAAGTGAAGGCGCTCACCTCTGCCGGACGGACCGTAGTCATTCCGTTCTCCGAAGCCTCTACGATCAGGAGAGTTTCGTCGTCCACTGAAATTGCCTTCATTCTCCCTGGATCGGTCGTTGAAACGAC